CCCATGGACCTTCCCCCCGTCTGTACTGCAGTTCAGCCAGGCTGGTCTCCAGCATCCACCCTGAGGGAGCAGTGACCAGGGTAACGCCCCTCTGGAGACTTGGCATTTCTGATTTCCTACCCCCTTCAGAGCAATTTCCCCCATTTCCCCCCTCCCCCCCCTCAGTTCCAAGTTCTTGCTTTTAATCTATTCCCCTCCAGATCTCTCCATTAGTTCCAAAGTTCACAACAGCCAAGTCTTCAACTTCCAGGGCTGTGCTGCCCAGTCTGTAACACGACCCTCCAACGCCAAGGAACAGACATGCTAAGCCAGCTGCACTTGGCCCACCTAAACCAGTGAAGAAATGCTCTTACCATAGCCACTCATGCTGCTTTGGCCTCCATATCCTCCTCCGTAACCCCCGCTCAGCTGCTGGTTAGCTGGACCACCATAACTGGATTGGCTTCCTTTCAAGTTAAGGATAAAAACGTTAAGCACTGGCCTGTCTCAGCCTGGTGGCTACCAACAAACCCCCCTTCACCCAACTGACAGACCCGTACCCTGGCACTAGCACTCTCTCTCACCCAGGTAACCTTCTTCCTAAGTACAGAAGGTAACAAAAAGCAAGTGAGCAGGCTTTTGAAGACATTCCTACACTCAAGCAGCAACAATAACTTCTAAGAATTAACAGCAACTGCTTGTGACTCTGCAGCCCTTGCCATAAGGGTTCACTTTTGCTGTTCCTGTGGACTACACAGGATCTGTCTGCTGGTGAATGTAACACACAGCCAAGATACTCAAGTGACCCAGGGAGGACTGTGGCCCACAGCAGTCCCCAGCCCCTGGGGAGGCACCATCCACTCATGAACTGGGACCATTAACACAGTCCTGGCAGACTTATTCCTGTTCCACAACAGTTGTGCATCACAGCAGCATGACAGCTCACCAGAGAGGACATTTCTACTTAACCTTGTAACTACTGCTCTTCACCAAGGCTTGTCTATACTCCCACTGCAGTTAAAGTACCAGCATTAGACTTCAAACATTTTGTCATCAAAATACTACACAAACTGCAGTGTACCTACACACCCCCACCACAGCACCCTCAAGGAAGAAACCACCCAAAAAACCAACCACCCCCTTCATCTCCAAGAAATCAGACAAGTCAGGTATCAAGAAGGGTATCTGCTCACAGACACAGCAATAGCAGTCATTTAGACTTGTGTTGCAAACACAATTTTAGATTTTGAAACAATTTCAGTTTGCTAGAGCAATTTGAACAGTTTCTCAAAATTCCAAATAGATTCTTCCCTCACCACCAAGACCAGGCTTGACTGGCAGGTCATGTGCCACAGATACACCCTCCATCACCAGACTATGCTCTGGTCTCAAAAAAAAAAAAACAAAAATAAGGGAGGGGGAAGGAGAATAAAAAGACAAGCATCTCCCACTTCACTTTCACACCACCACATACCCAGGAGCCACTCATCCCTCTGCTCATCCCACCACACACACCACAGTCAGCACCAGTTTATTCAACCTGTAATTGTTCAAATGTATTCCCGAAAGGTTTATATACCTGGCAATGTGCTAGTGTTCCAATCTTGGACTACCCCTTCCGATTCCTTGACTGTGTGATTAAGACAGAATGTTGTATTTCAGTTTTTATGCCAGGCATAAAGTAAGCAGGAGCTGTATAAAATAGCCAGCTTCCTTAAGTGCTTGTTTAAAAAAGAGTGGTTAGACTGCTTACACATACCCATTGCTCCCATCATCTGGCTGCCATAAGCACCGCCACTGCCTCCAGCTGTAGAATTCAAGAAGAGTTCTACGTATCTGTGTTCTGAAAGAAAAATTTCACCATGAGAGCATTTCACACCAAACCTGGGCAGTCTGTCTCACTGCTAAGTAAGGCTGCACGGAAACCTTTGGCATTCCAGTTACAGCACACGTACTATGCTGCAGCGGCCCTAAAGCCGTGTGTGTACTCAGAAGTCATACTTACGCATATTTGCTTTGTCTTTGGACATAGCAGCCACTGCATCCTCATGAGTAGCAAATTCAACATCTGCCTCTCCAGTTACTCTGCCATCTGGTCCAATTTCAATGTGTACTCTTACAGGGTTCAGAGGTGAGAAGAACTACATACAAAATAGTCAGAGAGATTAAAACGCACCAATGCAACAATGCGGTTTTACAGCAAGTCATTTCCTCTCAAGGAACACCATTAACTGCAGTGCAGCTGACACATCCAACAACAGAACCTTAAAGCCATGCACTGAAGAGCAGATTTGGCACTCACGTTATAGATGTCGTTCTCCGTAGCTCGGTAAGGCAGACCCCTCATGTGGACGCAGTGGCCAGTCGTGCTCTGGAAGGTGGATCCCCCGTCGCCGTATCTGTGGTCCGACATTCCTGCAGAGAAAAGAGTCCATTCTAGGTCTTTCAGATGTATTTTAGTTTCTTTTGAGACATATTGAAAGTTCAGTTACTATTGCTATTAGAGCAATCTTACCTCTTCCAAATCTATCAGAACCAAAACCATAGCCATCATTATACCCATTGTAGTCATCATAACCTCCATAACCTACAAACAGATCGGACAACATATTCATTTCAACTGCAAAAACATCCGAAAATACATGAACACAACTGCAGACATTAGCAAGTGTCATTTCTAGAAAAAACAAAGCCAAGGACATAATACAAACCAGTAGTAACAAAGCAGGGAATACACTACCGGGTCCAAGTGTTGCTGCTTCTCAGCTGAGCAGCTCCCTCTTGGACTTCACGTACGTACCTCCTCCGTAGGCTCCACGCCTCATTCTTTCCAAGCTACTTCCTCTACCAAGACTGTTATATCCCCGCGTAAGACCAGGTCTGTCGTAAGGACCGGGTCTCTGCATTGCCAACAGCTTGCGTGGAGGGTCGTAGTGAGTGCGCACTTCTGCTCGACTACTCTTGAAGATCTCAATGTACCTACAAGTGTTTCCACAGAAAGAAGTCAGTCCTACGTTCCCTCCTCAAAAACCTCACTTCACATTAAAACAAGCCATTTAGTCATAGCCTCGAAACTGGCAGTATATTTTAAGCCAGGTTTCTTTACATTATGTAGGCAATGACATACTATTACAAGTGCTACATTACTTTCAAATCAGTGTATTTTCAAGAAATTACAATTACTGAAGGGTTTACATGCTCCTCATACTTCACAGTATCCCAACCTTAAGGGCGGGGGAGCAATATTGATTCCCCACCCTCCTCCCCCCAATTTGAAAAGTGTTAGTCAAAAAAAATCATAGGAGGGACCAACATCCACTCAACTCAGCACTGTTTTGCTCATGTGGCAAGGTAAACAGAGGGTTAAAAACCCAGTCTCCACCAAGATTTTAACCCATCAGGATGCTACAAAAAGCTCTGCATGTGCTAGTGAACCCAGCCTATGCTTCAGTGATTCAGCGTAGGCAAAAAGTGCATGCTTCAATGAAAAATAGTCACAAGTAAAATAGAATAAAACCCTTTGTGACAATTTCTTGAAAGCTATGCTTATTACATTGAAGATTAATACAGTAAGAAAATTTGTTACATTTCAACTTATAAAACAAGTTTAGAAAGTATCACATTTTCTTATGGTAGTAAGAATACTGTGCATGTCTTTAGAGCTAAAGGCATAATTGGTGCTATTTGAGAAGTTAAAGCCATAGTCTCTCAACTTTGTCGCTTTCAAGCTATCAGTTTGTCACTCCTCCATGCTTACCCAGTTTCCAAAGCACACTTAAGCTCAGCCCAATTTTATGGTTTGTTTTGGGTAGATCCAAACAGTCTGTGCCATACGCACATCAGCAATATCTTTATTTATCACCAAGTTAGAGACCAAAACACAATTTCTAGTTGGATGTTAACACTTTCAGAAGAGAGAATATGGATTTAATTGTTTACCATAAGAAAAGTGACATAGCCAACCAACCATCCATCCCCACCTGTGCCCTATTCTTTCCTTGTGTTTCTTTAGAGCCTTTTCAGCTATTTCCTGTGAAGCAAACTGCACGAAGGCCTCCCCCGTACTCCTCCCCTGGAAGTCCACCGGCAATGTTATCCCATTTGGCACGATTTCCAACCCTTCAACCCAAGGACAAATAACCCCAGTAGGGGGGCAATATTAACATCACAAGCCCAGTCATGAGTTTTTCTTATAGCTTTAAATACACCAGAATTTTAACACTTGTAAGTGAATGGTATGTTGATTCTAGAATACCAGAAGAAAAAGCATGTCAACAAAGAGATCCACGATCACATACCATTCAGTTTACATTCTTAACCCACCCTGCAGAGCACAGAAATGTTCTGAGTGTCAGGGACAACTCCTCAGATTAGGCATCTAATGCAGGGTGCATTAAGAAGTTCACATATTACAAACCTCTTCAATTCTGTGAAAGTATTTAAGATGAACTTTTTAAGATAAATTTAAACACAGCAAGTTAAACAGCTTTATATATAACAACTATTTTTACTAGAAAACACTCAGGTAAAATAATTAGTCTTATGCAAACATCAAGTTTCAGCATTATTTTTTATCTTTAGGAGTGCTTAATTAAGAAAAAAAATAATGAAGTAATTTCAAAAGTATTAGCTGCTGAACAGAAGAGGCACATTTTGTATATTAACCACATGAACAGTTTTTTTAAAGTTTGAATCACTTAACCATGTAAGAAAAACAACTTAAAATGCACATGCTTAGGATTTGCTCTTGTTCACAATATATTACCAATTCAGAAATAAAAAAAAACAAGTTCTGAAGTTGTAAAATTGGAAATATTTCTACTGTACTTCAAAGCAAAACAGTAAACTCAATTGTATCTTGTTATAGCAAAACATTCCAGCTTTTTTTAACACTCACATTTAAAAATCTACTATTTTGAAAATGCTACTAACTTAAATCCTAGATAAGTCAACAAATTTCATTCTTAGGCATTTGTAATAGTATTCCAGTTCCTAAAACATACAACAGCTGCAAAAAAAGCAAGAATGAGTCAATACAAGACATTATTTCTTCATCCATAAGAACTTTAAGCTAGAGAACATCAAGGGGCTTTCTTTCCCCCTAGGAATTAGAAGGGGGAAGTCTGTACTTGGAGAAAGTTCAGCATGTTGGTTTTTTTTCCTGGAATCTTATTCAATAATAAATCTATGTTTATTAAAAAAAAAAAAAAATCATGGGCACAATGCATGCCCTTCCTCAGATTCCTGCTCCCTGTACCAAGCCCTGTGGTAAGGGCATTCTACATCCTTCACTGAACAGCATGAGCCAGCTAAGAGTGTGGGTGGAAACATCCTCCCATCTGAATTGTTCACTTCTAATTTAGAAACCAAGACACTTGCTTTCTGCTATCCTTACTTGGAACAGTATGTCTCACTAAGTATAAACTAGAACAGCTTTCTGGAGTTCCCTCAATTATTTAACAAGTAATTTAGGAACTGATCCCTGAAGTCCAGATAACTAATGAAGAATTGCTTATTTACTTCTAATACCCACATCAGTATACTGTTGGAAGTACTACTGGGCAATCCGTGGAAGCATAGACCAATAGTTCTAGAGCTACTACTTTTATCCCACATACCTGAAAAAAACTGTACAATTTCTTCTTTACTACAGCCAAATGGGAGTCCTCTAAGACGTACAAAACCATCATTAGCAGTATCAGGGCTGTTGGGACCAGTATGCTTCAGAACCCAATCCATTTCAACGTTGTTTGACTTGAAAACTGTAAAAGGCACTTAGAATTAATGCATTCTAGAATATGCAACAGCTTTTAAAAGTAATTTGCCTTGAAACTAGTTAACTTAATGATATACAAGTCCACTTCTCCTTTCACATGCATTTTAAAGAAACAGAAAAGCAATTAACCAAAAACCCATCAAGCACAAACACATTTAGTCAGTTACTAGACCAACTGAATCAAACCTTCAACGTATCTGTGTCCCATTGTTTCTCTGTCTTTTTTCAGTGCCAATTTCACATCCTCCTCTGATTCAAGCTCAGCAAATGCTTCTCCACTTGGTCTGCCCTCCCTGGTGTAGATGAAACGGATACCCAAAGCCCCATTTAGAATTTTGCAATCTGAAAAGGAAATGGGAAGATAGGAATTAATTTAATTACTACAGGAACACTGACTTTAAAAAGTTCAGATACTCTAACAGAAAAAAAAACCTAACAAATTAAGGAGATGAAAACAGGAGTGTTCATTATAACTTTTATAGTGACCAATAAACTAAGAAACTATCTAAAATTAAGTTACCCGTCTTCAAGGCTGAAGATTAGCAAAATTAAGCATCAATGCAAGTTAGCTGTTTTCAATGATTTGAAGCTTTGCTGCCTCAAGACAAGCTGAATGCACTATCTGCTTCTGATCATGCCTTAAAGACTTTCTCATGAGCATGAAGTGAAATAAGGAGTAGTAAAAAATCAGTATAAGCATAATGAACTACACGAGAACCAAGTCCAATATGCCAAATACCTGATGCAGCTTGAAAATCTCCAGTCACTGGAGTAAGCATGTATTTATCACTGCAGAATGCTAATTTGTGGGAAGGACACGACACACTAAGCACTTCACACAAGAGAGCCTATAAGGACAACACCAAGCACTAAACTGGTTTAGTTCAACCTGGAGCAAGAACTTTTAAGTTTTCTTTAAAATTAAGGCTTCTCTTGTGGCTGCTCAAGAAGCTAAAGCAGTTGTGGCTATCGCAGCAACTCGCAGATTGAGCTCCTCCTTTGTGTCTAGCTCCTGCTAGCAAAGCACAGCTTTCCATACCAGGTCCTAGCTGAGACACTTGTTGCATTACAAACTTCACTAGCTACTGAACCGCCCTGAACGCTTTCAGGAGCTGTTCGCTGCAGCATTCCCACTGCCAGTGTCTGCAGGAGGAAGCCAGTACTGACACCAGAGCCCAGCCCCCTATCTCCCCACAGTTCCACTTACCAGAGAAAAACCTCTGCACCTCCTCGGTGGAGCAGGACCAAGGCAGCCCCCTGACTTTCACCACATATCCCTCGCTGCTCTCCGTGTTGAGCATCACATTGGGGGTGAGGCTCGGCTCCGTCTCGGCTTCTGTGGTTGCTGGAGAAAACCAAAACAAGCCCTTTGAGACGCCGCACAGCACGGCCGCCACCCGCACCCCCTCAGAGCGCCCGGCGGCCCCCTTGGCCTGTGCCCTCCCACCCCCTAGCCTCCTCTAC